GAGTGTAGACAGAGAGGAGGTCCATTTAGGGAAAAATGCTAGCATATGTGAAGCCTAACTTCCCCGTCTAAGCCTTTCATGTTACGCGCTTGACCACCCTTCCTGAAGGCAACTTGACCAAACTTTCCGAAAGGTCTCTTTGCCTTCTGCGTGACCAAGCGAAGCGGATTTCTGCAGCTGGGATTGCAGCCAGGGTTTGCGCGGGCTTCCATGGAGGCCCCTAGAATCGTCAATCTAACAGTCTACGCCTAAACTCTAAACCCCAAGATTGAGGCGGAACCTTGGGGAAGGTAGTATAGGACAGAGTAGTAGGGGATTCCAAGAGAGTATGTGCCAAAGATCAAGCTGCAGACCCCTAAAGTTGAGCTTTTGTACAGGACCTGACCCCTCAACAAGAACTACGTGCTAATTTTCGGCACATCCCCATAAACCTCTAGTACTCTGCAACTGCCTGTGGGCCATACTGACTCGATTCTGAGGATCCTGGTTCACTCCAACTGCCTCGGAGCAGCAACTGGGACAGCTCACGGCAATGGGGATCCCAAACAGGGAACCCCAAGAATACAATGGGCTTAGAATACAAACGGGAAGATATTTATATTAGGAATACGAGGAGCAGCAACTCGGACAGCTTACGGGACCCTATTGGAGACCCTAATGTTTGAGGTTCAGGGGCCTAGCGTCGAAAGTTTAATGGGGACCCTTACTAGGGAACCCGAAGAGCACGGTAGGAAGATAATAGGAATATGAGGAGCGGCAGCTAGGACAGCTTACGGTTTAGTTTGCTAGCCGAGATTCTAGACCTTTTGGTGAAGAACTTTTGCTTAATCTTTCATGCTTGAAAAATTGTTTTTCAGGGAGCTACTTGGGATCAAGTTTTTTAGGGGCCTACGGTAGATGGTTCAGGTTTAGGGCGCGTGTTTGTGATGGGCTTCGATGGAATTATGGAAAGATCTCACCACTTCCATATCGTAGGGTGGAGAGCGCACAGCAGCTGCAGCAGCTAGAGTCTATGTAGGAAACGCTTCCGGATATTTAGCTCTCAAATGTACTCCTGCGTAGAATTTCTTACTATGTATATTACCGCATATCACTTGTGTTTCGTAACACGCCTATCTAAAAGGACCCTAATGGGGACCCCAAAGAGGGAATCCCAAGGCGACAGTTAGAAAGAATATTCGGGTTTGGGGTTTATTGTTTAGTAGGAATATAAGGACCCTGGTATGTATAGTCCTATCACGTTCCAGTTGTGTTCCCTCACTCGGGGGCCCCACTGCGGTTCAATTCATTTGGGTTTAGGGCTTTAGGGTTGGCAGGTTTGTTGGTTTAGGAGCCCACATCCAAAGTGCTGGGTTGGTACTGGTATAGATGCAAAAAGGGTTTAGGGTTTAAGGATCGAGTATGTGTTTATTGTCCGTTTGGAGAGCTTCTAGCGGTTAAATAGGTGTACATAGGGAGATATGGGATTTAGGGGTGAGGGTTCGGTGTTGTCAAAATTATGCTTTTGTCTGGGGTTCCAGCTGCAATGCGGCCCCCAACATTTAGGGTACCAGCAGATAAAAGGGCCAGCGATGTGACAGTCCCACGCAGGACCTCAAAAGGGTGAATTATGGATCCTGGCAAGGGGGCCTTTGCATGGTTTGGGTAAGTGGTCTCCTCGTGTTACTGCGAGAAAAGGAAGGCATCCTTCTTGTCGTTCTATGGGAACGCAGGACCCAGAAATCATCCTACCACCTACCTTCTTAAGGGCGGCCGGCCTTTGATTAATTGTCCAGGGCGGCGGGGGTAGAATTGTCAGTTTGGATGGTGCCCTTGGTGCTTGGAGTTTCGCATACTGAGGCGCGGAAGAACTTGTTTTGCGTGCGATACTGTCGTTTTAAAAACTACTTCATGGCCTGAGTATACTGTAGTACTTAGATGGACCCCCCCACCCAGTAATAGTGACTATAAGGGATAATAAGGATTATATTAGGGTCCTCTCACATTCCTATTATATGACTAGTACAGGGTGGGGGGTCCTCCCAATGTAGTACGATAGTTCCTCGGACTTAGTGATCAGGCTCATGCAGGATTTTGAGTGTCGACCGTACTGCGAGTGTTGTTTGCCACTGGTTGTGCTGCGACACGCAAACCTGAGCGTGCCCAGGCTGTAGGGCTTCAAGATCAAGAACAACAAGGGGAATTTGGCAACAAGGGGTGATATAGGGTGTGTATAGGGATTGTATCGGGTTATTACCCCCGCAATTCTGGAGAAATCAAACGGGAAATTGAAAAAGGGAAGGGAGATGGACACTTGCGGTATATAGGGGTCTATAGTAAGTAGAAAAAAGGTTTGGCAGCCCCAACCCCCAAATAAGGAAGTATGGTTATGATAGGGTCCTGATCTGAAGGGTTGGGCCCTCTTAGACGAAAGTCGGAGGTTAGCAATTCTTGCACAGGGCCTTTAACGACAAATTTCGCCTTACATTGTCTAAAGCTGCACTCTGCAAGAGGTTAAGGACCTCAAACCCTCAGTGTGGCTGCCTCTGTCTTCGATCTGGCCTTAAGTGCTGATCTGGATCTCAGGTCCTGGGTACCTATTACTCGATCACCTTCTATCGGAACTGCCATTTGGATTGGTTATGCTTGGTCGCATCCATTATTCTCGGTTGGATCCAAACCTCCTAAGAGTTCTGAAGGGGGTGTGGCTTATGCGCGCTCACTCGCCTTGCATAGTCCTGTGACTTCAATGCCCCACATTGCCTTTGCTCAATGCCTCGCATACCGCTGTTGAAAGCCTTCTGCGCGATACCTGCCCTCATTCGTTTCCAAGGGATCTAGGACAAAATGTCGAGCATCAGATGGGCAAGAGGTTCTCCCATGGCTTTTCTTGAGGAATTCGGGGGTAATCTGAACATCATGGTGAAGGAATGATTGGGAGAGGACGAGTGGATCTCCGGAGGCTACATTAATTCCTTGTCAGGTGCCCATTCCGTTGGCAGAAATATGACTTAGGCACCCTCCAGCAGTCCGGTCTACTGGTTGCTGGCTGCATGGGATGAACTGTAGGTGGCTGTGTGTCCGCTGGGGCCCACAGCCACAAACACAACCCCTGCAGCTTAGAAGCTTGCATACAACACGCAAGCCCTAGATGTATGAGATGAGGCCTAAGCCCAAGAAGCCCTGAAGACCTCAACTCCACACTCTCACCTGGAAACTAAAGTGGGGCTTTCCGAAAATTGTTGGCCTTGCTGCCTTTTGAGGGAGTCCCACACATCAGGATATCGCCAAACCAACCCCCCCATGTACTAAGGCAAGCACGATCACTCACTGGGTGGGCTCTACCGCTACATGAGCGCTGTCATAATGCGCCACAGCCGCATGGGGTACTAGAAAAAGCCTAGAGTGGAGAGGCATGAGCGTTCAGTCGTTAAATCGGGTCAGTTGTTTTGTTTTGTTGTGTGCATTTTGCAGGACAGAGAGAGACCAAGTTGAAACGCAGCAAGCATTTTGCTCGCTAAAGTGTTTCGTAAACCTTTGAAGCTCAACCAGTCGTTAAACCCTAAACCCTAAACTCGAATTGTGGGGAGGCTTGTGCTGTTTCAACTCTGCTCCCTGGCGGTCCTTCCCATCGAGCGAGCCCTGTTCCTTACAGGCCTCTGGACATGTAAGCGCAAAATATTGTCGGGGTTCAGGGTTTAGGTTTGGGGTTTATATCTGAGGGCTGTGTAGGGGCTTATGCTCTCACACCCTGCACATATAAAAGTTCTAGTAACTCTAACGGGCGTTGGATGATATTTTTTTTGTACCCTGGCATTCCACCTCCTTTGACCGAACCAGTATAGAGACATGCAGGTGGGAGGGAGGGGAATGTCAAATTTGCCACCAGATCTCTGCAAAACGTTTGGAGCCTTCCCAACTCTCAAGTATCTTAAGCCCTTCCTAAACCCTAGTTGCCCTAGTTGTTGGAAATGATGTCGACTCCGAATGGTTGTTACCATCTGTTGATTCTGCGACAACCCCGGGAGCCCAATACTTCTCCATTAAGGCATATACCCCACACCATCGTATGGATCATGATTTAATAGCACTTCGGATACATGCCTTAAATGAGGGACCCAAACCCAAACCCTAACACCCTAGACCTTAACCTTCTGGTGTTGGCCTTTTGAGAAGCACCAAGTGTCGAGCTGCTGATTTTGGGCACGCCCATAGCATGTTCCCCATATCCCTTGCATGCCTTGGCTTCAGTTCGAACAGTTGGGAGATTTGCATTCGACTAACAGCATAGTGAATCTAAGTCAAAAAGCATGGGTAGGGTATTATTTTTCCCTATTTTTTTGGTTTTTATTTCCCTATTTTTTGGTTTTTAGTTCTCCGGGGGTCGGACAGAAGGAAAGAAAGAAAGAAAGTTTTCTCAGGGGGTCGGACAGAAGGAAAGAAAGAAAGAAGGAAGAAAAGAAAGAAAGAAAGAAAGAAAGCAAGAGAGAAGGAAGAAAGAAAGAAAGAGACAAGAAAGAACGAAAGAAAGAAAGAAATAATACAGAGAGAAGTTAGAAAGAAAGCAAGAAAGAAGGGAA